CCCCCATGGGCCCTCAATGACCCTGCTGACCCCCCATGGACCCCCCATGACGCTGCTGACCCTCCATGACCTTGGTGGACCCCCATGACCCCACCACGACCCTGCTGACCCCACCGTGACCCTGCTGACCCTCCGTGACCTCAGTGAACCCCCCCCTTGACCCTGCTGACCTTGGTGGATCCCCATGACCCCACCACGACCCTGCTGACCCCCCATGGACCCCCCCACGACCCTACTGCCCCCCCAGCCCTCACCTTGGCGTCCCCCAGGAACCTGGTGAGGCACAGGAAGACGCTCCCCCTGACCCGGAAGTGCTTGGCGGCGTAGACGTCCGGCACGTGGGGGATGTCGGTGTGGGGCGCGAAGCCGCCGGCGCTCCAGCGGTAAACCAGCGGCCGCCGCGCCGCACTGCACACCACCAGCGCCGGCCGCCCGCCCAGCTCCAGGAACTCCAGGTGCGTGTCCCTCTGCCACGGCCGCAGCGTCTGGTGCGGGTAGAAGCCTCCGGAAGCCCAGCGGAACACGGTGCTGGTGCCGCCTTTGGAGCTGTCAGCCACCCCCAGGTAGAGGTGGCCAGCCAGGCGGGCGGCGGCCACGGCGTGGGGACGGCGCAGGTGGCCCGAGCCCAGGGCTTGGTGGCGCACAAAGGACGAGCCGGGGCCGCCCGAGCGGCGCCAGACCCAGGAGCCGCCCCCGAGCTGGGCCACCACCACCAGCAGGGTGTCACCCACCGGGAGGGGGTGGCAGGCCACCGGGGACGAGCCTGGGGGGACAGAGGGGACAGCGAGGGGGTCAGGGGGGACCTTGGGGATGTTGGGGTGATGGGGACCTTGGCGACATTGGGGACTTTGGGGAAATTGGAGACTTTGGGGACACTGGAGATGTTGGTGTGATGGGGACCTTGGGGACATTGGGGACCTTGGGGACATTGGAGATGTTGGGGTGATGGGGACATTGGGGACGTTGGAGATGTTGGGGTGATGGGGACCTTGGGGACATTGGGGACCTTGGGGTGATGGAGACCTTGGGGTGATGGAGACCTTGGGGACGTTGGAGACTTTGGGGACAGTGGAGATGTTGGGGTGATGAGGACGTTGGGGCCATTGGAGACCTTGGGGACATTAGGGACCTTGGGGACGTTGGGGACACTGGAGACCTTGGGGACCTTGGGGACATTGAGGACCTTGGGGACATCGGAGACCTTGGAGACATTGGAGACTTTGGGGACCTTGGAGATGTTGGGGTGATGGGGACATTAGGGACATTGGAGACCTTGGGGACCTTGGGGCCACTGGAGACCTTGGGACCACTGAAGACCTTGGTGATGGGGACCTTGGGGACATTGGGGACCTGATGGGGACATTGGGGAAATTGGAGGTGTTGGGGACATTGGGGACATTGGGGACCTTGGGGACATTGGGGACACTGGGGACATTGGAGATGTTGGTGTGATGGGGACATTGGGGAAATTGGAGGTGTTGGGGACATTGGGGACATTGGGGACCTTGGGGACATTGGAGATGGGGTGATGGGGACACTGGGGACATTGGGAACCCTGGGGACACTGGAGACCTTGGGGACCTTGGAGATGTTGGGGTGATGGGGACCTTGGGGACACTGGGGACATTGGAGATGTTGAGGACCTTGGGGACATTGGGGACACTGGGGCCATTGGGGACCTTGAGGACACTGGGGCCGTTGGGGACCTTGGGGACATTGGGATGCTGGCTTTGGTCTCCCCAAGGCCATCTTGGGGTCCCTGATGTCATTTTTGGGGTGTCACCATCAATTTTGGGCTCCGATTTGATGTTCCTCAGCCCATTCCCACCCCATTCCTGTTTTCCCCCATTCCCACACAGTTTTCTCACCCACTTTCCCCATTTTTTCATCGATTTCCCCAATTTTTCACCGTTTTTCACCAAATTTCCCTGGTTTTCCCCTTTTTTGCCCGTTTTTGCCTGTTTTTTCCCGTTTTTTCCCGTTTTTTCCCCGTTTTTTCCCCGTTTTGCTCACTGTTGATGATGGTGGGGGCCCGGAAGCGCCCCCTGAGCTGGTCCCACTCCAGCAGGGCGCAGGCTCCTGTCACCGGCTGGGCCAGGGCCACCCCCGCTTTTTCACCCAATTTCCCCATTTCTTCACCAATTTTCCCATTTTTTCAACATTTTCCCATTTTTTCACCAATTTTTCACAGATTTTCCCCATTTTTTCACTGATTTTTTGCGTTTTTTCCCCATTTTTTCCCTGTTTTTCCACTGATTTTTCCCCTTTTTTCCCCATTTTTTTCCCCATTTTTCCCCCATTTTTTCCCCGATTTTCACCGGTTTTTCCCGTTCTTTCACCGATTTTTCACTGATTTTCCCTGTTTTTTCAAAAATTTTCCCCATTTTTTCCCCTTTTTTTCCCCATTTCCCCCCATTTTTTCCCATTTTCCCCATTTTTCCCCAGTTTCCCAATTTTTTCCCTGTTTTTCCCCGTTTTTTCCCATTTTTTCACCAATTTTCCCCATTTTTTCATCGATTTCCCCAATTTTTCCTGTTTTCCCCCATTTTTCCTGTTTTTCCCCATTTTTCCCCGGGTTTTCCCCATTTCTTCACCGATTTCCCCCATTTTTTCCCCGTTTTTTCCTAATGTTTTCCCATTTTTTCCCGTTTTTTCCCGTTTTTCCCCGTTTTTTCCCGTTTTTTCCCCATTTTGCTCACTGTTGATGATGGTGGGGGCCCGGAAGCGCCCCCTGAGCTGGTCCCACTCGAGCAGGGCACAGGCTCCTGTCACCGGCTGGGCCAGGGCCACCCCCGCTTTTTCACCCAATTTCCCCATTTCTTCACCAATTTTCCCATTTTTTCAACATTTTCCCATTTTTTCACCAATTTTTCACAGATTTTCCCCATTTTTTCACTGATTTTTTGCGTTTTTTCCCCATTTTTCCCGTTTTTCCACTGATTTTTCCCCTTTTTTTTCCCATTTTTTTCCCCATTTTTTCCCCATTTTTTCCCCGATTTTCACCATTTTTTCCTGTTCTTTCACCGATTTTTCACTGATTTTTTGCGTTTTTTCCCCATTTTTTTCCCATTTTTCACAGATTTTCCCCATTTTTCCCCGGTTTCCCCATTTTTTCCCTGTTTTTCCCCGTTTTTTCCCATTTTTTCACCAATTTTCCCCATTTTTTCACCAATTTTCCCCATTTTTTCACTGATTTTCCCCAATTTTTCCTGTTTCCCCCCATTTTTCCTGTTTTTCCCCCATTTTTCCCGGGGTTTCCCCCATTTCTTCACCGATTTCCCCATTTTTTCCCTGTTTTTCCCCATTTTTTTCCCCTTTTTTTCCCCATTTCCCCCCATTTTTTCACCAATTTTTCACAGATTTTCCCCATTTTTCCCCTGTTTTTCCACTGACTTTTCCCCATTTTTCCCTGATTTTCACCGCTTTTTCCCGTTCTTTCACCGATTTTTCACTGATTTTCCCTGTTTTTTCAAAAATTTTCCCCATTTTTTCCCATTTTTCTCCCCATTTCCCCCCATTTTTTCCCATTTTTCACAGATTTTCCCCGTTTTTCCCTGGTTTCCCAATTTTTTCCCCGTTTTTCCCCGTTTTTTCCCATTTTTTCACCTATTTTCCCCATTTTTTCACCAATTTTCCCCATTTTTTCACTGATTTTCCCCAATTTTTCCTGTTTCCCCCCATTTTTCCTGTTTTTCCCCCATTTTTCCCGGGGTTTCCCCCATTTCTTCACCGATTTCCCCATTTTTTCCCTGTTTTTCCCCATTTTTTTCCCCTTTTTTTCCCCATTTCCCCCCATTTTTTCACCAATTTTCCCCATTTTTTCACCAATTTTCCCCATTTTTTCACCAATTTTCCCCATTTTTTCACCAATTTTTCCCATTTTTTCACTGATTTTCCCCAATTTTTCCTGTTTCCCCCCATTTTTCCTGTTTTTCCCCCATTTTTCCCGGGGTTTCGCCCATTTCTTCACCGATTTCCCCATTTTTTCCCTGTTTCTCCCCATTTTTTTCCCCTTTTTTTCCCCATTTCCCCCCATTTTTTCCCCAATTTTTCACAGATTTTCCCCATTTTTCCCCTGTTTTTCCACTGACTTTTCCCCATTTTTCCCTGATTTTCACCGCTTTTTCCCGTTCTTTCACCGATTTTTCACTGATTTTCCCTGTTTTTTCAAAAATTTTCCCCATTTTTTCCCATTTTTCTCCCCATTTCCCCCCATTTTTTCCCATTTTTCACAGATTTTCCCCGTTTTTCCCTGGTTTCCCAATTTTTTCCCCGTTTTTCCCCATTTTTTCCCATTTTTTCACCAATTTTCCCCATTTTTTCACCAATTTTCCCCATTTTTTCACTGATTTTCCCCAATTTTTCCTGTTTTCCCCCATTTTTCCTGTTTTTCCTCATTTTTCCCCGGGTTTCCCCCATTTCTTCACCGATTTCCCCCATTTTTTCCCTGTTTTTTCCCAATTTTTTCCCATTTTTTCCCAATTTTTCCCCATTTTTTCCTGTTTTTCCCGTTTTTTCCCCGTTTTGCTCACTGTTGATGATGGTGGGGGCCCGGAAGCGCCCCCCGAGCTGGTCCCACTCCAGCAGGGCGCAGGCTCCTGTCACCGGCTGGGCCAGAGCCACCCCCCGGTGTCCCCCCAGGGCGAAGGGCTCGGCCCCCAGGGACGAGAACGGCAGCGACTGGAACGGCCGCAGCTCTGGGGACACGGGGACAGATTGGGGACAGCTCTGGGGACAGCTCTGGGGACATGGGGACAGCTCTGGGGACACGGGGACAGATTGGGGACAGCTCTGGGGACACGGGGACAGCTCTGGGGACATGGGGACAGCTCTGGGGA